AAACCTTCAGAAATAGGGACGGATGTGTGAAGAAACCTTCAGAAATAGGGACGGATGTGTGAAGAAACCTTCAGAAATAGGGACGGATGTGTGAAGAAACCTTAAGATATACATTCCAAACAAAAACGAACCCACCTTGCCATCAATGAGTCCCATCGATGACTGAGACAGCCGAAGGACCATTCCCGAAGCCTGGTGTTTGTCGGTGTATTCGATGGTGCGGGGGTCGTTGACTTGTTGCTCCACGGTTTTGCGGTCGCCCAAATCATCTTCACTCCATTCAATACCATCTGCAAAGCCGACGGTGTACATGTCCTGGTGGCTTTTCTGAGTCCCAGCGGTGACCGGAGAACCATTCCTACCAATTGGAGGAAAATCATGAAAAACGGAAAATGGCTCAAACAAGCACCCAGTGTCTAAATTGCATTGCCGAATATAGTCCATCTCGTCCTCAAACTCTTTGCCGATTTGCTTAATCTTTTTGACCTGGTGATTTGCTTCCTGCACCCAAGGTTCCAAGGCCTCAAACTTGGGCTCATCACCCACATAAAGCAATTGCAAACGCTGAATAGTCTCCAAAAAGTCCTTGCGCCTTCGGCAAATGCGCGACAGCAACATGACAGCTGCGATGGCAAGAGCAGAGTCATTCATCGCGATGAAGTCCAGAAGGCAATGAAGAAATCCAGATAAGGCCTTTCGACATGCCCGATCGCCCGAATCGGGCGGCTGCCAGGGCAGTGCTATCTGCGCCAAGTCTGTGATAATGGTGATGTAGCTTGGGACCTCTTCAATACTCTCCACAGAGATTGGTCTCCCCACATCATCAGCTCCATGTGAGAGCCCAATCATGTTGGGTCCTCCCACAAGCTCCTTGACTGAGCCAGGCAGAAATTCCAGAAAAGTTTCCATGAAGGACTCCACGTGAATATTCACACACAATGAGCAGCACATGTTCAACAAGCGACAAACATCCTTCAAGGCAGCCAAGTACAAATCCGTTGCAACGATTGGATGCACCTGCACAAGTCGGTGCATGGCACTAAACAGCTCAGTGACCCAACGGAGTTCAAAGGTCGGCAACTTGTTCTGTTCAAGATCTTCTTCGTTCACGTAGGCGCCCTGCTCGAGGCGTTCTTGCAGTTCCCGTTGTCGATCCTCAGACTCCTTGCGGAATCGTTCAAAATAACCGAGTCCAATGAGCTTGGACAACAACATGCTTAGCACACTGACGAGGTGCCCCATGCAATCCGAAAAGTCGGAGCGTGGCTTTGGCTGACCGGGACTTGCCATGTCACGGCACAATTCGGCCAAAGAAGCAAATTGCCAAGAGCACATGTGGCAAAGCTTCTTGAGGTCATCAGGCGTCAAAGGAGCTGACCCTCCCCCAGGAAGCTCATCAAAGGCACTGTCATCATCGTCTGCCCGCGTTCCATCCAAGTATACCTGGCTGATGACCGAACTTCGAATTGACTCGTCCGCAAAAGGTGGCTGACGCAAAAAACCATGCAGAAGCAAGGCTGTGTGTGAAGAAAGCGCGGCGAGGTCGCTTAGGTCAGCGACATCTCGGCTTTCTTTCACTTGACCTTGTTGGCGTCGTTGTTCAGCCAAATAGGCTGGGCAAAAAACCAGCCCTGCATTTCGCAAGACCTCCCGCTGGATGAGCTGACCCCGCACCACGCTGGGTGGTATCACTGACTGCAAGAGTACTGAGTTGTCAGTGTTTCGATCAGCTGTGAGATGTGCCAGCAAGTTCACCAGTGCAAAATAAAGGAATCTGCAAGGCTGAATCTTCTGATTTGGCTGCAAGAAGTCGAGGTCCTCTTGAACATAGCCACGGCCTTCATAGCGCGGCGGTTGCGCCCTCTGCTGCATCCACAGCACGCGCGGGACCATATTACGGATGATCTGGGCAAGGTCGTCTTCATCCTCTGCCTCCGGTGCTTGGGCCTCTTCCAAGGCATTATCGAAGGTATTGAAGAAGATCGAGGTGCCAAGCTTCAACAAGGTGAACTCATCCTTCTGGCTCATGAGCTGTTTCAGGCCCTTCCCACTGCCAACGAAGCGAGTTCGGCGTTCGATTTCAGCCCGTGCATGCATGTGATCATCAACTGTGATGCTGGTCTTTGCCCAAATGTTGTCTGAACACTCTGGTGGAGGGCGCCTTCGAATACTCAGGGCCTCACTGGTTTGAATCAGCTCCCGAGTGATGAAGTCTTGGATTTCATTGATAGCGTTGCCATCAGGGCCGATGCATAAGTCTGTCAGAAGCTCCAGGATCCTCTGGACGAACTTCACCCAGTAGTATGGGCCCTTTTCGAAACTTTCCTTGTTCTGCGCGAATGATTTGTATTGTTTTTCGTCCAGAACTTTCTTCCTCCTGGTAAAAAGTTTCCAAAGCACATCCACAATGACTCGAATTCCACCTAAGTTTTCCTCCGCTGTACCAGTGGTGCACTTCTTGCGAAATTGTTCTAAGACTTGCTGGAACTGTCCAAGTTTCATGGTGGCATCGACTTCTTCACTTGAATGTAAGGGCTCTGGACGAGCAAAAGCCATCGTCAGCAAATACAGAGTGTGTGCGGACAAGGTACTTAAAAGGTCGGTGGAGGTGGCCACCTTGCAGCATGGCACCAACTCTGGGACCAAATCACGAGACAAGAAGACATCTGGCATCATAATAGCTCTACGGGCTGCTTCTCTGCGCTCTGGCGTGTTGACTTCATAAGGAGAGATGGTCAGAAGTCCAGCGTTGGCCGCTGCATTGGTCTTGAACGGCATGAGCAATGGAAGGAACGTCTCCAGTTGAATTCTGGAGAAATCGTCATCGGAAAAGTTAACAGGTGGTGGTTGCTGCTGCTGCATGTTCACTGTTGTGGTGCGAAGCTTGCTGGTTGTCGCAACACTTGCGGCAGGAGTTGTGTTGCCACTCTGCTTCTCACTTGGTGCATCACCTGCTGAAGCAGCAGAGTCCTGGTTCATCTGCTGCGACCCCATACTCACAGCATTTGCGCGAGCTGCATCATTAGTTGGTGTTCCTTCTCCTAAAGAAGATGTTGTCAGTGTGAACTCCCCAGCACCAATGATGTCCTGATCCTGGACATGGTACACATAGCGTGGCTTGGAGATTTCAAGCATCTTGGGCCGGGCAGGCTTCGAACTTTTGGCTAAACCGTAGAAGACCTGAAGCTTGGCGTGCGCCTGAGTGTCTCCCACTGCCTTCTCCCGTGCAGACGCCTCTGACTGAGCATTGTCCTCCTCGAAGTCCTCTCTTTCAGAGGTCACGCGCTTGTTCAAGTCCTCTTCTTCGATCTCCAAGATAAAAGACATGTAGGCCCATCCTTTCTGCTCTTTCAGCTCTTTCATATCCTTTAAAGGACGTGGGGGCACATCTGCTCCACCCTTGTCAATCCACTGCCAAACACGACGGCGCTTTTGCATGTTTGCGTCTCGGAGTTCCCGAAGCTCTTCATAACGCAAGCGCAAGTGGTCGTCCTGCTGCTTTCGAATGATGCGGAAAGATGCATCGATTGGAAGCACATCCAAGCCTTCTTCCACCATCCGCTTCAAGTCTAAGGTGGACTCTTGTGAACTATGGCAATCCCATTCGATTCGAATCTGCGTCGAAATGCCCTTGTCCATTCGAGACCACAGTGAAAAGGTAAAGGCTCGATCGATTCTGGAAGGCAAGAAAAACTGCTCGCGCTTCTCATCAGCTTCAGCACCAGAGTTCTTGAGGTAGGTTAGTATTCGATAGTCATGGTTCAACTCCTTGACATCCTGCTTCTTGGAGTTCTTCTTGGGCAACACAGGGCCATGCGGATGCAGAGCTGTATACATCACTTCCAAGACTCTCGAGCGCATGATCCGATTGCAGTTGATCGTGATGGCACGTAGCGACTCCACCATCAGCGTGATGTCAGGATGAAGATCTGCCAGCAAACTCTGATCGTTGATGCCGATGTCGACCTCCACGTCTCGGAGCATGTCATAGAGGTCACGAAGACCATCACCCTCATCGAAGGCCAACATCTGGATCAAGGGAATGCAGTTGGTGGTCGGAAATTGATCTGACATCAAGTTTGACAAACATTGGCAGCAGTTTGAGATGGAGCCACAAATCTCCCGAAACAATCGTGTGCTGGCTGTATATGGAAGTAGTCGATAGACGGGCTTGTAGAGCTGATTCGTCTGTGGATTCGTGCAAAAGCTCGGAATCTCGTAGGAGAAGTTCGCCTTTGAGTTGGCAAAGCGGGGCAGAAAGTCTCGGATCACGCTCAGGATTCTCATCATTTTGGGCACGACTTCCAGCTGAATCAGCTGAGAATGCTCTTCCGGACTGGAGGTGCAGCAAATGTATTTCAGGACAGAGGCAGCGCTGAAGCACAAATTGAGATCAAAAAAGAGTTCGCCTGTGTCTCGGGCATCCTCCTGACCCACAGCTTCTAAGGAGGAGTCCATGGGCTTTAGGACTTGATGCATTGTGCTGGATCCGTGTTTGTCTTTGGAACCACTGGCCTTTCCGATCATCTGTTCTCCCGTGAAGGTATCAGTTGAAATGATCGAAAACCGCATGCCTTGTCGAATGATTGCAAAGATATTGGACTTCTGCTCCTTGCTGGTGTCGCTTCTTGATAGCAGCTCCAGCAAAGGGCGGACAATCCGAACGGATGCCTTCAACCAGGATTGTTAGGGGATGCGGTTTAGAGATGTTAAACTGCGGTGCTTCTTAAAGTTGTGTGTGAATTAAGTTATAATAGTTGAAACATGTTAAAACTAAAGCAACGTCTGTGGCCGCACAACTCCTTCATCCAAGAATTAGGTTGGAGGTGGTGATACTCGCATTTGCCTCGTTGTTGCTTGTCTAGATTACCTGGCTTTGGCTTGTTGAAACTTTATCCAAGTGTAACCATTGAATCGAAAACAAAGCCACCCTGAAGGAAGTTGGATCCCCTCGGAGTGACGCACGGGTGAAAAGCAAAAATGATATGAATGATGGGCGTCGCAAGTGCAACCATCTGAAGATGCTTGATTTGGTCTACATGTGCCAACCATTGAATCTCTGGAGTGAGCTGGATTTGTCGAAACGTGCTCAACTCGACCCCAAAAGTTAGGTTGACAAAGGCTTGCGGCTTGTCGGATAGAGGGCGCTACTGCTGCGCTTTCTGGTCCTGCTCCTGCTGCTGCTGCTGGTGGGGGCAGTGGAGGGGGTGAAGGTGACAATGGTGAGGACTTTGGTTGGGACCTTGGTGAGGATGGTGAGGGTGATCACTCTAGCGGATGCCGAGCGTTTGGTTCATCGATTAAACTCGTTTCAAAGGATGGTTAACAGATGTTCATAGAAACCCTACAGACCAAAGAGGCGGGCAACCAACATAAGGGCCACCAATGGCCTTTGTTTCAAGGTGTCAAGAACGTTAAACGAAAGCCGGTTTTGAATCACCCGACACAGTGGGACTGCAGACTGCAGTTTTTAAGGTATCTGAATGGGGCCTCCCATCTGGGGCCCTGGGGTCGATGGGGCCACAGAACAGTATTTTAACTATTCAGTGGTGGTGGACAAACACCTTTCAGGTATAATTTACAGCATTTTACAGCCATGTCTGCCTTGCAGCCTATAAGTGATCTTACACGCTTTCCAAAACACAGGTTCAGTTTCACTACGGTGGTCTTCTGCGTTTTGATTCCTCCTCGTTCCCGGCCGCATCAAGTGATCCAACACGCGGCAAAACGGCTGAACTTTTCAGATCAGCAACCCCCCACGTGACTTCCACGACGGCGAGCCCACGCCAGAAGCCAGACCCAAAAACCAACCTTGGGAGTAGACACAGAGCAGGAACCGTCAGATCAGGGGTGCCAGGTCACTCCGAAAACTGGTCTCACGAGAAAAGAGAGAGCTGTCAGATCTGTGGCACTGTGAAAAAAACCCATTGCGTAGTGGTGGTCACATCAAAGCCGCCCTAGACTTAAATCTGCTATCTAGAAGCATGTGACTTCCAGGACGATTCACGCCAGAAGCCAGACCCAGAAACCAAACTTGGGAACTGTCAGATCAGGGCTCCTCGGTCATAGGCGCCCCAGCCACATCTTTCTTGTGGACTCTGAAGCTGTGAGACGTGTGACCTGAAGCTGTAGATTGCGCACGATACGTGCCCCAAAATGGGAAGTTTGCCTCCTGTTGTAGGCCACTGTTCAGTAGACAGCCAACTGCCAAATTATTCCAGGGTCTATCGCATCAAGCCCACCCCTGGAATTATTTCAGTCGACGCAGCAAGCAATGAGAGCCACCAACGGCAAAAATAATCCCAGCGGTGGGTTTGATGCGATCGACCCTGGAATAGTTTAGCAGCTAGCTGTCTAGAAGGCAAACTTGCCCTGTTGGGGCACAAATCTTAGAGCTTCCACAAATCTGCAGCTTCAGGTCACACATCTCACATCATCTCACGGCTTCAGAATCCACAACCACAGGACCTGTGACCTGACAGTTTCTTATTCCCTGGTCTGGGGTCTGCTCCCGAGTTTTGGTGAGACCAGTTCAGGAATGTAGTGCTGAATTTGGTGTGGTTTCTTTCCTTGACAAAAATAATTCCAGGGGTGGGTTTGATGTGATAGACTGATAGACCCTGGAATAATTTAGCGCTTAGCTGTCTACTGAGCAGAGACATACAACAGGAAGCAAACTTGCCATTTTGGTGCATATCTTACACCATCTACAGCTTTAGGTCAAACATCTCACAGCTTCAGAGTCCACAAGAAAGATGTGGCTGGGGCGCCTATGACCTAGCAGCCCTGATCTGACAGTTCCCAAGTTTGGCTTCTGGGCCTGGCTTCTGGTGTGAACTCGCCGTCATGGAAGTCACAGGCTTCTAGACAGCAGATTTAAATCTAGGGCGGCTTTGATGTGATCACCCCTACGCAATGGGGAGCATTTGGCCCCAGATGGCCCCGAGCCACGTTTTTCGCAGTTCCACACATCTGACAGCTCTCTTTTCTGGCAACAAAGGTTGAAGTTTCAAGAATGAAAGGCGTCATAAGGATCCTTGCGACACCTTTCCTGTTGCCCCGTGATTACCCACCTGTCAGGTGAGGATTGTTATATTTTACGTCAGCCCCATCTCCTTCTCCTTCTCCTTCTCCTCCGCCGGACCTCAACACAACCATCCACGCCCAGTGTTCCCTGCCGGAGCTCAACCACGACCATCCACGCCCAGTGTTCCCTGCCGGACCTCAACCGCGACCATCCACGCCCAGCGTTCCCTGCCAAACCTCAACCACGACCATCCGCGCCCAGCGTTCCCTGCCAGACCTCAACCGCGAGCTCCAGGCCCAAGTGTTCCCTGCCGGACCTCAACCACAGCACACAACCACAACCACAATCACAAACACACAACCACAAACACAACAACAAAAAACCAGAAACACAACCACACAAGCACAAACACTCAACCGCAAACACACAACCACAGCCACAATCACAAACACGCAATGACAAGCACAACGTAACCACAAACGCAACCACAGCCACAACGACAAAAACGCAACCACAAACACATAAACACAACCACAAACACACAACCGCAAACGCAACCCCAAACACACAAACACGCAATGACAAGCACACAACCACAAACAAAACCACAGCCACAATCACAAACACGCAATGACAAGCACAAGCACACAACCACAGCAACAACGACAAACACGCAATGACAAGCACAAGCACACAACCACAAACACACAACCACAAACACACAACCACGAACACACAACCACAAGCACACAACCACAACAACACAACCACAAACACACAGCCACAAACACAACCACAAACACACAACCACAAACACACAACCACAAACACACAACCGCAAACACAACCACAAACACACAACCACAACCACAAACACACAACCACAACCACAAACACAACCGCAAACACACAACCACAAACACAACCACAAACACACAACCACAAACACACAACCACAATCACAATCACAAACACACAACCACAAACACAACCCCAAACACACAACCACAAACACAATCACAAACACACAACCACAAACACAACCCCAAACACACAACCACAAACACAATCACAAACACACAACCACAAACACAACCCCAAACACATCCACAAACACACAATCACAAACACACAGCCACAAACACACAACCGCAAACACACAACCGCAAACACACAACCGCAAACACACAACCGCAAACACACATGCACAAACACAAAACCACAAACACACAACCACAAACACAACCACAAACAAAACCACAAACAGGCAACCACAAACACACAACATCAAACACACAACAACAAACACACAATCACAAACACGCAATAACAAGCACACAACCACAGCCACAACGACAAAGAAGCAACCACAAGCACAACCACAAACACATTCACAAACGCAACCACAAGCACACAACCACAAACACAATCGCAAACACACAACCACAAACACAACCACAGCCACAATCACAAACACGCAATGACAAGCACACAACCACAAACACAATCACAGCCACAACGACAAAGACGCAACCACAAGCGCAACCACAAACACACAACCACAAACGCAACCACAAACACACAACCACAAACACACAACCACTACCACTACCACTACCACTACGACTACGACTACTACTACTACTACTACTACTACTTCGGCTTCTACTACTACGACGACGACTACTACGACTACTACTACTACTACTACTACTACTACCCCTATTGCTACTGCTACTACCACTACTACTACAACTACCACTACTACTACTACTACCACCACCACGACCACTACTGCTACTACTACTACTACTACTACTACTACTACTACTCTTGCAAGGTTCGGGCCCCGAAGGTCGGGCCCCGAACTGCGCACTACTATTACTACTACCACTGCAGTACTACCAGTACTACTGCTACTACCACCACCACTACTACTACCACCACGACTACTACCACTACCACTACCACTACGACTACGACTACCACTACCACTACCACTACCACTACCACTACCACTACCACTACTACTACTACTACTACGACTACGGCTCGGGCCCCGGAAGTTTCCCAGCTTTGAGCCGCCCAGTACAACTACTACTGAAATGATCTGAGTTGTACTTTTAGTTGGGCACATGGTCTCCTGATGAAAGCGTTCGCTTCGGACAAAACAGCAAGACTTGGCGCTGAAGGACTTGTGACTTGTGCTATGGGCTGAAATACACAACGAGGGTGATGTCAACGTGGCTGTTTTGAAATGTCATGGTGGGGATCACTCGAAGTAAAGTAATTGTGATCGTTTTTGGATTTTGAGCCAGCTGCAAATGTGAGCATGTGATGTGGCGTTTTGAAGTTATGACATCATTCCTTTATCACGCCTTGAAAGTCCATTCCGACCATATTGTTCCAGGGTACCCTCCACCCACCTCAACTTCAACATGGTGATGGTGGTTTTAATGTTCCTAAAAAAGTTATTCTGAAAAACTATTCCTGTGGGTGACCCCTACCCTGGAATAATTTACGACGGGAGGGCCCATCTATCTGAATTATGTCTGGTGGGGAACAAAAACATGTTTGAACCGTTCTAGTATCTAAGACCTACCAAATCAATGCCCAAAAAGTCTAAAGTCCGAAGTTTAAAGTGCAAACAAAGCTTGCTTTTGAACTCTGCCTTCAAACCCTCCTCTGCATTGCGAGAATCTGGCTTCAAGTACTTCCAAAGAATGTCTGCAAAGGCAATCAAGGATCTTTCTGCTGACTCAGGCTGCTGGAAAGTCTGCTCCATACTCATCAAGGTCTTGTCAATACTACCTGCAATACAAAGACCATTTGTAATTAAGTATTAGTCTATATATAACTATTACGAATCTCAAAATATCTTCGACATATGATGGGATGTCAAGATTCCCAGTCGTAGTGATGATTGAAAACCAAAAATTATTCAACAAATAATTTTTGTTTAATATAGATTCCCCGACCAATAGAGGTAAAAAGGACACTGGCCTTCAAAAAGGAAAAGAGTCCTAAAAACCGTTTGGAGCCCGGCGACTCTTGGAGAACAGGCCGATATTCTTGGGCAAGGTCAACAGCTCCAGGATGGCTTCACAAATCGCCTGTGCCGTATAGGAGTCCAGGGAATCCATGAGTTCAATCAGCCGCTCGCGATTGTCACTCATCCGCGACAAGGAGGCCTTGGTCATGGCCACCACGCACAACGCGAAGAATCTCTGGATGGGGCGCAAGCGCTCCGCGGTGCGGCCATAGGAGCTCGAGGCACGCAAGGCGGCCGCCGCCGCGGCCTCCGCCGAATCGTCCTTCGAGGCGTCGATGTCCTGGCCTCCGTTCACCACCGAACCATCGCCAATGGAGTCGAGGTGCTTTCCAGCGATGCGCGTGGCCCTGGCCCAGCGCAGCACATCTTGTTGGTACACCACTGCACGCGAGGGGTCTTGCTGAAGAAGCACCATCTCCTCTGGCAAACGGTCGCCTTCAGTGCCCTCAGGATTGCCTTCTGCGCTGGCGTCCTCGCCCTTCGACTGTGCCAGCTCTTGCAAGAGCTCTTCCTCAATGTCCTCCACCTGCTTGAAAATGAACTCCGCCACCGACAAGCTTCGGTTTGGTATGATGGCGAAGGCTGTGTTACAATTCTGCTTAACCTTTTGTTCCACCATATCTCTGATCACCATGTTGGTGCAAAGCAACTTCAGTGTGACTCGTGGTGGCTCATCCTGAAGAAGTTCTGCATCTTCTTGTTCCACAAAGGGCTGAATGGCACGGCCGCTCATGAACTGCACCTGGTAATAAACGGAATCTGCAAAGTCCAAACTCTTACATAGAATCTTCTCGGCCGCTGTGCCTTCATACCGTTGAAGCGCCTCCTCGTCTCGGACCTCCTCCCCGCGCTGCGGCATCGGCTTGGTGTGGCACAGGATCACCACACACGGAGGCACCTCACGACGCTCCACTGGCTGATCAAGCTCTGACTCACTGTGCGAGATCCAAATATAAATCTCATTTGGATTGGTGCATACAGGATAGGGTTGTTCTTTGTCAGGCAGCCACAACTTCACTTGTGTGCGGACATTCCCCACGCTTGGAGGCAAAGGCACACATTCCACAGCGATTCCGGGCGCTCCTTGAATTTGAAGCTTCTTGATACGGCTGACTCCTTGAGCGTGTTCAGGCAACATTGCATCTGCTAGCCGCGGAGCCAGCAAGGGCCGAGTCTCTTCGAATGATTTCACGGAGGACAAGCATCCATAGAGGATTTTGCCAATGTAGAAGCGCTCCTCCGCTGTGATGTCCTCAGGCGAATATGAGGTGACGGTCTCCATGAGCTGCGTCTGATCACATTGCTTCAGCACAAACATCAACAAGGTCCTGGTGGTTCTGAAATTCACGCCAAGTTCCCGCCGTTCTTTTGTTTTGGAGAACACAAAACGTTCAAGAAGAAATCTGATTTGGAAAGAGAAAAGAACATGAAAAAAGCAGCAAAAATACAAAACGAAAAAATGCAAACAAATGCAGCAACAACAACAACAAACAGCCAAAGCTAAGGGTCTCATAAAGGCCTTTGATTCGCTTGTCACCTTGCTGCATGACCATCTCCATGAGTCGCTTGAAATGATGTGACTGACACATGTCTTCGGCCCAGGTCTTTCGGATCTCACTGGTGGAACGGGACACCAGGCGCACCAGCAGCTCCAGGGTTCTGGTCACAGTCAGAGGTTGCGAACAGGCCAAATACTTGAAGAATGTGTCCACTGCATTCACCTGCGATGTGGGTGAAAATGGCACCCCGGGCTACCTGGGTTCACCGAAAATGAACAGAAGGATGACCAACAGGAGGTCAATCTAGCCTGGTTTGGGGCCAAACTGGGGAGGGTTTTGACCCACAGCCACCTCTGGCTCTGCCATGAGCTCCACGTTCCGGCGATGCTCCACCACTGTCATGAGTCCCTGAGTGACATGAGGCGCTCGGTCTTCCAAGCGAGCTTGGTCGACTCCGCCTTCCAGTGGATCAATCGGCGGAGCAAGGAGGTGCTTGATCAGCTCCAAGCGAACCGAATCCTCAACCCCTTTCTCACCAAAGGGAGGCTCCCAGTTCAGGATATTCATGACCAATTCAGCTGCAGCAGCAAAAGTGGTAGCCTCTTGACATGTCTGAAGTAGCTTGTACACGGACTCAAAGCGACGTCCTTTGCCAGGAGCAGATTCTGCCATGAGCATCTGAACCACACGGCGCAGTCCGCTGGTGACGGCGGGATCGGCCAGGTTGCGGAGGGCAAAAATGGCACTTCTTCGCTGACTCTCTGAGCCTCCCGAGAGGAGCTCGCAAAGGACTTCAACCCCTTGTCTTGCTGCCACCACCTGTCGAGTGTCGAAAATGGCCCGAAGAGTTGCTGGCATGGTCAGCGGATTTGGCCTCGGTGCATTTGTGTTGTCAACTATCAATTCAAAAGAATCTCCGTCAGACTTGGGATTTCAGGCCGTTCATAGGTGTTTTCATAGGTGTTCTTGAACAAGTTACACATAGTTACACCTGAGGTTTGAAAAAAAATAAAACATCCAGCCCCTCTTTTCTCCATCCCTCGGATCTCCCAGTGGCAGTTGATCAATGCCCGATCTCCCGAGCTCGGATTCATCGAACTCCTCATGCGTGGAGCGCCAGGCCATCAGCTCTTCGCGGCGCTTGTCGAAGAGTGCTTCGTTAGGTTCCAAGGACTTGAAACCATAGATGTTCACACAGTAGACCTTGGATGACTATTCTGGTAAGAAAAGAAAGTTCATTGCAGTACATAGTCCGCAGCGATGAGGCTTTTTGCTGGGTGTTTTTCCTGCTCGTGGAGAAAAAACATTGAATTGTTGCACAGTCAAAAGCAGGGTTACATCTGGACAACATTATATCACCGATTGATTCTCTTTACTCCCAAAGTTTGCCGAAATGGATTTGATTGAGAGGAAACCGGTCCTCTGGAGCATGAAGAGTTCGCTGTATATAACAACAAACCACTGGGTTTCGTCCCTGCGTGCATTGTTCAATTTCTTTTTTTAAAAAATCAGCAGCCACTTCAAAAGTTCCAGAAAGGTGCCACGTGTATGCGCCCCACCTAGGCTTCTGCCCAACTCAGTGTAGGAGGCTTCCTGCCCGGACCCATCTTGCCGAATCCTCTGCTTTCGTTCAGCTGCAGAAAATGTCAGGCGATCAACGTTATCACACCCCAAACCACACCAATGTGCCTGTTTACTTTGACTTGTCTACGCTTCACTTCGATTTGTCTACGCTCCCTGCACCACTGGATTTCTCAGCGCCCTGCTTGCCTATACTCACGCTGAAAAGGATTGCAATATCATACCGTGCAGACTGCTCTTTACAAAAAGAACAATCTGCATCCAATTCAATTACATAATTAGGTGTGCGAGCATCAATCCATCTTGCACCTTCGCATGGTCTGCCGCGTGGGCTTTGTTTGGCCGTTGTTTTGGTTTCACCTACAGTAGTTGCTTTACCTCTTGATCATGTTCAATTGCTGCTTCCCATTTCTCTGGTGCAAGGTGGCGTTCGTATCGCTTGTACAGGGATTCCTTTTTGTACTCAAGTGTCTACTGTCACCCACCTCCCATACCCGGTATAATAGGTTGGAGGCCATCGCTAGTAGGTTGAAGGCCATTGCTAGTAGTAGGGGTGTTGCGGCTGGAGGGACCGCAAGTGATGTGGTTCAACGTGCTTCTTTCTGGCGCCAGGGGTTCCTCTTCTGTTTATCAATTGTCAAAAAAAAAGTAATATAATGTCCTTTCTGAATTCCCTCTTCGAGGGGTTTCACCAAGCTGCAAAAGGAATGAAGGAGTAAAACATAGTAAAACTATTTAAGCAAAACCAGGAGACCCAGGCATGTGGATTCTCTGCCCGGTCAAACTCCCAACCGGGGCAGCCAATACAAAGATCAGCGGTGCCAAAGGAACACATCAAGGGAATCTCTGCAATGATTTCTTCTGCCCAGGTGAGCTCCCCGTTCACCGTCAAACTCAGCACAAAATGGTCCACGCTCACACACACATGTACCCATTTGAAGCATTCCAATGGCTTTGACTTGATCACGTACTGATGAGGAGATGCATTGTGAGTAAACCTTAGGACAATGGGGTGCAAACCTGCGCGATTGCCCAGCGTCTCCGAGGATGAGATCCCAATGGCTAGTTGAATGTCGCTCGCTGTGAAGCCTTTGTAGACCATCCAAGCAAACTTTCCCGGTTTGTTGAACTCTTCATTCAAAAATGTGTGAAAGCTGATGCTCCAGGAAGTACTTCCGCGGGCAAATTCGCACTCCAAGAACATTGCCTGTGTCTCTGGCCTCAAGAGTACCAGGGTCTGCGGCAAATTCCATGTGGCTGGAGTGCACGAGAAGTTCGTCAAGGTATTGATGACATATCCACGGTCATGGCAGCAGATCTTGTGGGGATTCGCAACAGAGCCGGGTCCGCCTTGACCAAGCACATTTTGACTCGACTCCTCGGCTGCCATGTCCACAATCTTGGCAACAGCCTCCTGATGGCTCACAAAGCTGCTTCGTCCCTCTTCAGACAAAGAAAGCCCATAGTAGAAGCGGGAAGCAGCCACATGTTCATCCGTCAGAATCCGGCGATTGAGAGGATCATGGACTTCGATTGGAGTGGGTCGATTCAAAAGGACGTCATACATCATGGTGAAAATCTCTCCCTCGGCTGTGATGGCCGGATGTGGTTCATCATCTCCAAGGTGGGCTAGGTACGAAATCAGGGTCAGGACGGACAGGTCGATCTCTTGTTGCAGGTCCTGCGGGGACGAGACAGAAAGGCCGTGTGTTGGTGATCAAACAGTTCCTACTTCCTACCCTTGAATGATCTGCAGGCTTGGAGGCACCAAAGGTCAGAATTGCTCACAACGACATGGGACACTCAACGCAACCCTTGCAGTGAGATACTGTATTCATCAGGGTGTGCCAGCATTGTGCAGTACATTGATCTTGTGCAATAGTTTTCAACTGCAACCACACCGGTACACGCGATGCTGAGGAGACCTGCACCGCGCGCACACACACTTGAGAAGGTTGCTCCGTGGAGCTTGTCTTCAGGCTGTTCGCGGTGAGCATTAGCACTTTACATTTAGGTACTGCATTAGCTGAATGCATTAGCACTTTACTGCAAAACAACGTATGAGACAGCGTTGAACTGACTTAGAAGCATCACTGAATGAATATTAAAAGGTTGCAGGTACGCTGGGATGATCAGTCCCAGTATCATCAAGGCTTAGAGAGCGTCTTCGTTGGTGGTAGACTCTCTGCCTTGCTACCACCCCCTGCTGCTGCTGTACAAAGGTTCAGAAAGTCATAGGAATAGAAATAGCTAGATTAGTGTCCTTGGAAACAGGAGTGGACACACACAAGAAGCCGAACACGGCGCAACTAGACCGGATCAGAAAATATGTATGTCAAATAATGGAAGATCAGGACGTCGAAAAGAACTCAAACAAGGTGAAGAACATGTGTATTACGAAGTGAAAAGTCACTCTGCTGGCGGATCGTCTTTTTCCTCCTTGGCCGCAGCGCCGCGGCACAGTGTTCCTTTGAATGACCTTTTGTCATATAGAGCTGCATCAACTGCTGTGCTGTGGTTGGTACTAGCTGCTGTGGAAATGTGTATTTGCGTAGTGTGTGGCGTCGTGATTGTAGGCCTGACAGGCGTAGTCTGTGACTCCCCGCCGACTGCGGATCACGAATCTGCCAGGGGTGTGTGGAGAGTTGAAAGGTGACAGTTCTGTTGAGTGGATCAATCAGGAAACCGAGTAGATGGTCGTCGTCGACTGGCTCAGTTTCAACCGGGCGTTCGTAAAAATCGGGATGGGCAAGTGTGGTGATGGGGAGTGCGGATCTGTATTGTTCGTTGAGCAGGATGTAGCGGTTGTCAACGTATCGTGTGTTGAGGAGGTGAAGGCTGGGTTGTTGTAGAAAGGTGTGGTATGTGGTTTGCCAGGTATGTTCAATGAGTGTGATTGCTACGTTGCATAGAGCCGGTGAAAGTTGACTGCCAATGCCTGCTCCTTGGATTTGTTTGTAGTAAGTATTGCAGGCTTGCAAAATGCATGACTGGAGTGCTTGTTGCACGATCATGGGAATGTGTTGAGCGTCGAGTGTGCGTTGTTGTGGGCGGTGGATGTAATGTCGGCCGATGTGTGAGTGTTGAAGGGGATTGCCGGTGGATTGTACATCGATGGTGACGGCGGTGGTTGTGTGTTGGGCTTTCCAGCGATTGCATAGGCTGATGACTGCGTCGACCAGGCGTTGTTGGGGTACACTGTTGAAGAAACCAACGAGGTCATCGTTGACAGGCGTGGGGTGAATGTCCTCAGGTGTTGTTTGGAAATGGTTGTGGAGGTGCTGCCATAGGTTGGGTATGGATAGTTGTCCTGGATGTTGAGGTAGGAGATGGAGAAGCATGATGTCTAATGCCTTGGAGGTGGCTCGTAAAAGGGTGCCTGCAATGGATCTGAAGTAGCTGATGACTGTTCGACCTTTTCGCCAGGACTTCTTTTGCTTGAGGAAGACTACGCCATGCGGTGTGTAGAAATGTTTGCGGAATCCCCATGGATAGGCTCGTCGTATGTTGGCGGGGAAAGATTGAGTGAGTTGCTGTTGGAGTTGTTGGTCGGTGAGGTCTGGTAGTGGTAGAAAGAGTTGTGGTGTGTTCCAGGTGGTGAGACATCCATGGAAGTAGTGTTGTGGGCAGAAAATCCGTAGATTCTGCAGTTCGTGATCTGCGTGATGCAAAACTAATTTGTCTGTAAGGAACTGTTGTAGTTGGGTGACATTGCGTGAGGTGAATCGCGGTGTGTGCCGAATGTTGTCGATGTGTTGTTTCCATTGTTGGTGTAGAAATGGTAAACTGTGTTGGTGGAGGGCGGTGGGTAAACCATGGTGTCGTAGCCATTGGGTGAAGTGTTGTTGGAAAAGCTGAAGGTATTGTGTTTTCGTGGGAAGAAAGTGCTGTTCATGTTGGCTTGGAGAATTATTGAAGATGGCTCGGTAGCTGGAGGTCGTCGAGTGTGAGCACGTAATGGCCATCGTGGAGTGGTGGTGTGTGGTTGGGTCGCAGTAAGGTGTGCATGTGGGTGCAGCCGCATGGCATATCGGCAGCTGAAGGCTGTGTTGATAAAAGTTCTTCCCAACGTTTGTGATTGTAACCGTGATCGTAGTGTCTTGTGTGCTGCTTCGCGCAGTTTGGTGGTGGGTGGATGGAATGGAATGGAATGACGTGGTGCATGTGGTGTTGGGTCAGTGTGCGAAGCCATTTTTCAGTGGAGGACGAGAAAGTACTGTGGGAGAGAAAAGGATGGTGAAGGGCTTGTTGGCTTTCGGTGGGGTAAGATTGCGGAAGTTGAGAGCGGAGTGTAAAAGGTGAAGGACTCGTGATCGATCTGGTTCCTCCAGGCTGGCGGCCATGCGTCGGAAGGCATAGATTTCGAGATCTGTGTATTTGCCGCTGCGGATGGCTGTGGAAGTTTCAAAGGATGAGCGTGTATGTTTGCTGAGCTCGCGTAGGACTGTCAAGGCATGCAAGCGTTGACTTGTGTGGAGGTGCGGTTGTTTGATGGTGTATTGTCGTCGTCGAAGCCTTTGAAAAAGGCGCTTGTGAGTGGACATGCGCGTGAAGGTGGTGCGGTGTTTGGCAAATTGCCAGCCAGAGGCCTTGAGTTTGAGGTGTCGTTGAATGTATGGCCAATTGAGGGTGGGTTGCCGCTCTTGGATCCGCAAGCGTTCATAAGTCCAAGCTTGATCGTAGGTGTCGTGGTGGGAGAGAAAGATAGTGCTGTAGTGGTGTAGGTTGTTCTTGGAGTGCCAATAGCGTAGGGATAGTTCGGCTGAAATTGGGTGGTTGTTGTGTAATTGTTTGAGTTTGGCGCGGCGGTTGTATTCTCGCTTCGGAATGGTGATGCTGGTAGAGCCGATGTAAGTATGTCCATGCTGGTGGTATTGGTGTGTGGTGTGGTGTTGATTGAAGAAGAGTTTCGCGTAAACTGCGTTGGGATGTGTGAACATGTGGTAATGGTAAGTGTGTGGGGTGACCTGTAGTTGGCTGAAACGTGTGCGCCATTGTATGGAGTGGTATGTTTGAGATGGAAAGGCAAAGAGGCATGTGAGGTGACTAAGACTGGTCGAGAAGATCGCGTGGGTCTTGTCAATGTAGGGTGTGAAGTGGACAAAGTGTGAGAGTGCTGTGTGAAGCGTGGTCAAGAATTGTAAAGTGAGATGTGTTGGTTGACGCAGCGCTTGTTGAGCGAGTCAGGCCGCCAATGCCGAGCCCGCGGCCACCAGCTGCTGTAGCGAACGGGGTGGTAGCTTAAGTACCCGGCTGAGCGGGATGCCGTAGCGTGTGGCTGCTTCCTGGAGCTGTTCTTTTGTGATACGTTCGTCTCGAAGAATTTGCTGGATATTGGTGACTTGTGTCTGTGTGGCTGGTGGTAGTGTCTTGAGCCATTTCTGAATGCCTGCTGCCGCATAGTTGGCTGGTGAGTTGTCGTGTAAGGTTTGAGCTGTGGGGTTAAGAATGGTGTTGGCTGTGAGTGCTGCTGGGGCTGTAAGTGGGAGATGGGGTTGGGGTTGGGAAGCTGATGATGATTTCCGGGTTTGGTTGGTGTAAGTGCGATGCCATGAGTCTTCAATTTGTCGCGAGCGCGCTGGAGTTCGCTCTCTTGCTGGTGTAGGCGATCAATCTGTTGCTGAAGTTTTCGGAGCGCTGTACCTTCACCTGCGGGTGGTGTGAGGCCTCGTAGGAAGTCAATCAAGCGGGAAATGAGTAGTTGCATGAATTGCTTGGCATCAGTTGTTTTGTTGGGAATGGATTGATTGGCTTGTTGGTGTAAATATTCAGCAATGTTGTCGATGTCCAGATTGTGGGCTCGCATCTCTGGCAACAGTTGTGAAGTGTATCGTCCTTGGGATAGGGTGCGAAGGCTGTGGTCTTGAAGGCCAAAGCGACTGAGCTGCCAGGGAAAGATGTCCAAGACAGGTTGTATTTTCTGGACCATTGTGTTGGTTGGATAGTGCGGAACAATGTTTGACCGTGGACTGTATTGGTGTCCAGGTGTGTGTCGCTGGGTGTCCATGTGTCTGGTAGGGTGGGGATGTTGGGGGGTACAACGCCGAGTGGTGGAGGGGCTGGATGGTTGGATGCCGGGGGTGGGGGAAGGGGTTCCGGGGGGAACACCGCGGTCGGTGCTGGGGGAGCTGCAGAATGGTCGGTCGTGTTTGTTGTGTGAGGGTGGTGATAGGGATGTTGGTAGTGATGACGTACTGCATTCGTTAAAGGTCCATAGCCGGCACTGGGTGTTGCAGCACCGTAATAGTGTTGCCACCATTGTTGATGCGCATCCATGATTGGGATCAAGAGATTCACTGCAAAAGAAAGAAAGTTGAAGGCACTGAGTCGTTGAAACTTTTGAACCACAATGGCTGGAGTCGTCTAGTGAAGTCGTCTGTTGGAGGCCAATCCTGAAAATACAGCCAATACAACGAGTATGAGTGTGGGTATAATTGAAAATTTAAATACTGTGAAACTCAAAATATATGGGAGAAGAGTGAAACCGAGAGTGGAAAAATGGAAATCATGGAAATCACTGTACTGTGGATGTTTTTCTGTAGCTGGCGATGTCGGCGAGCTATATACATTGAGTCAAAAACCAAAGATCAGGTCTAGTGTCCTCTCATGGTGGTGCGCCTGCATCGTCCCACCAGGATCCGGCGGGGCCCGTGCTCGCTTCCGGATGGTTTGGCCGGATGT